GGGGGGGGGAACCCTAGTTTTGCACACCCAAATTGTCGAACTTTTAATACAACCCGATAATCCCTATATTTCCACTCTGTTCCCATTATGAATGTTTACAATTCTTTTTTTTTTTAGATCACACAAAGTGTCCCAGCCACTCACAGCGCAGTGTCGAAGTAGTGAGTAATAAATGGGTGTGGAGCTGCAGCCACGGCGAAGTTGCTACTTCCTGTATCCACCAGGATGTTCACCTGAAACACACATGGGAGAGTTTCTTTGAACAACTGGTACAGTTATCTGCTTCAGGCCGACTCCACCCGACCTCACAGAGCTGCTGAGTCACAGGGTAAAAGTAACAGAGTGACACATTGATAAGAAGACTTTTAAAATGCCACTAAGGCATTAAAGGTTCTGTTTGTACAAATAATATTAATTAGAGGAGGCAAAAGCAGAAGAACAGCAATAAAAACTAAATATAGTGAATACAAACACAAACATGATATGGAAATTAAATGACTATTGCATCTGTAATATAATTGCTCTCTGTGTGATCTCTGAGACAAACATGACTGCCTCTAGCTACTGACATACTCTATGACCTATCCAGCCATGCCAGTGTGTGTGTGTGTCATGACCACAGTGGAGACCAGCTAACAGCAGTTGAGATAATCTTGTCTTCCAGGCATCAAGTCAATGAGCAGGAACTAATTAGCCTGCAGACTTCTGTCACCTCCACTACTGAGCAGTGGCCACATTAACACTCACTAGCGAGCGTTTCTCACCATGGCGAGGTCATGAAGCCAATGCCCCATGGCCACCGGATGACAACAACAAAGAGGTCCATACAGTAGCTTTTCAATGATGTCACATGACAGTCATTGTAAATATAGATTACAGAAAAAAGGGTTCATTCAGCATGCTGGGAAAGAGGTAGCACGGGGATGAGAGGGCACTTAAACGACCCTAAAAAAACCTCTTGCACACTTGGTTTTAGAAAGACCAGAACAGCAGGAAGTAGTTTATTTAAAACATGCAAGTGTTTGACAGGCAAAGGAACAAGGAATTCCAATAATTGCGTGAAGAAATCCACTTCCTCAAGCTTAGTTCCTCGAGCTACTGTCACGCCTACACCATGTCTAACTGGAGCATGTTCATCATTACATCGCACTATTTCCTCACTATTATTAACTATTTATTTTAGCCAAGATCCCACTGTCGTGCTCATTTGTGCACTAAAAACACTTGGGGAGGGAAAAACCCTGCAATTATCAACAATGTGTTATCGACCGGTTCAGTCGGGCACAGGAAGCCCTGGTTGGCCCGTCCAATGGGAGTCGGGCTTATCAGTTCCTCCTCATTGGACCGGCCCTGGTCCCCATCGCTGTGGCTGTGCCATCTAAAACCCCCACTGCTGCCATGCAGATGGCATCAGTCCTCTCACACGAGGCCTGAACTGGCCAAACAGGCCAGATTGGAAAATACTGAAACCTCGTGGCGAGAGGGAGGGATGGCGGGAGGGGGGGGAGCAGGGGCATTTCCTGATCCCAGCACCGCGTATCTTTTCTGGTGACATTATCCTCCCTTAGCGCGGCAGCTGAGCCTCAGGCGAAACCTCCACCCCCGCTGCTGCCGCGGCAGCCTGCAGTTGAGCGCTCACTTGTCTAATTGGCAGTGGCTCCGTGGCGGCAATGTGCATCTGCTACCTGTTTGTACCAATTAGCAGATGTGAGGCTTCTCCATCCGACACCTCCGCCCGGCTGTGCCGCATTGCTAACAGATGCGGCAATTATTGGCTCATTTGAATAGTGCCTCATTTAACACCGCAGCCCTGTAATCACATCATTATTTAGTTGGAATAATATTGAGAGTATGACTCAATAGTATTGAGTTACAGCACGTTTTTGGCACTGCGCAACCAATCTCAACCAACGTGGATTGAGCTCTGCTGGCACAAACATTTTTTTTATAATGGTTTCACCATAAATATACACGAGTATAAAAGGCTGGAATATCAGAGGAGAAATATCAAGAGGTGGAACGGATTTTCCTCAAAAACAACATAATCATTCATCAGTAGAATATTCAAAGTAGTATTTGTTAAAAACATTAAGTATTCAACTCAATGTTCAATTCTTCTTGAGCTTCCTCAGGCTGTGCAGACAGCAAGTCACTTGACACAAGAGCCCAAATAGACCTTTGTCACAGCTTTAACTTTGTCATGTCATAGCAGAAAACTGAGCCAGTTAGTGTTTATTAAGCTGCACCTGACAAGTCGAAATGTGACAACGGTCCGTTAGAATTCACCAGGTGAGGCACCCCTGGCATCACAGATACCTTTCATATACAGAATACCAATATACTGTGTATAAATAACTAAAAACGTTAGTCCTATTAGCTATAGATAGACAGTACTTGTTTAAATGACTCATAAAACACTGAGGATCTTAAAAAACAGAGATTCAGCACAAGCATCCTAAATGCAGATAACTAATAAAATATGTTAATAATGTTTTGTTGAGACTTGCTGTATTTATTATTATATTTACTCCCATATGGAACAAAGGATTTTTTGAGTTGTTTCTCGTAAGATAAAACCGGTGATTTGTTTGATAAGTGATCCTTGAAATCAGTTTTTCTACTGGGTATTAATTACGAAGTAGTCCGATGATGCTGTTGTAAATCTGTTATTCATTCAGTTATCGGTTGACTGTTGATTACTGATAAGCAAGCACACCTGTGCCTGGTTAAAGGGTGTGCATACTTTAGTGTACTACTTGCTCTCTATGCAGTTCGAGGATGGTTGTAAAGTTTTTGTATGAACGGTACTCTTACACGTACTGCATTATGACGTGGCAGGTATAGCACTGATAAGCCTCTGTGAGCCTGAGGATCTGAGCCTTGCCACCAAAGACTCTTAAAACCTCTGATCTGTTTAACTTGAGATGGCCCGGGAACAACAGGTCAAGTCACTAATGAGATAATTCACCTTCGGATTAAGCTCCATTCCAAACGCATCTTCTTACAACACAATGGCAAAGCACTGCCTTAAACCTACAACACCCTAATGCGTCATGTATTTTTAATAGTGACTGGGAGAATCCCCCCCCTGCCGCACCCCATGCCAACTCTTCCGGGACCATTTAGTCCCCCTTAATCATTAATATGATCTCGTTAGGCACTTTACATAACAAGCAGTATAAAACGACAGCGAATTACACGGGCCTATTTCCGTGCAACCAAAAGAAAATAAGCAGCGAAATGTACCTGGAGGGCTCGTGCTGTTTTTGTACTAAACTGTGGAGCTGCTCTTTGCTCCCTGGGAGCCTCATAATCCCCATCAGCTGCCTGATAAGAAAGAGAGGTCCTCACAGGCAGCATCATGTGAGTGCATGTGAGCAGGGCTTTAGTCTACCTCCAGACCCAAAGGCTGTGCAGACTTGAGGCAGCTAATGCAACCGTCCTGCCAGCCTGGGGAAAGGGGAAAAAAGAGCCGATTTTGTTTAATAAGGACAGTGATAGCAAGATATGCCCTAATCTTCCCATGACCCAGGTCGTTGTTCTGCTGTTCATAAAACAATCATTAAGTGTATGTAAATATATGAAATATTGGGGTGAAGCAATCAACACCCAGCTGCCTTGAATGGGTCACATTGTGGACGGACCGGTCCTCTCTCTCTCTCTCTCTCTCTCTCTCTCTCTCTCTCTCTCTCTCTCCCTCTCTCCCTCTCTCTCTCTCTCTCTCTCTCTCTCTCTCTCAAGTGAAAGTAGAGAAAAGTACATTCAGTTTCATTCTGTTTAAAAACCTTAAATAGTCGTATAAAAACTGAAAAAAACACAGGTGTCAAACAAAAACATTTAAAAGTAAACAGTGTTTGCGATAACATTACCTTTTGACCAGGAGTACCAATCGACATTTCCATGTAGTAGCCTCTTCCATAGTCCCCCTGCAAGTTGTTTACCATGTCCAGAAAGTTCACGGTACCGGTGGGATCAGAGGCCAAAGACAGGCCGGTTCCATCCGACGTTAACGCGACTCTCCGGGTCAAATCCACATGATCCGAGGATACATTGTATCTCCCGGAGTATATTTTGAGCGGTATAGCAAAGTAACACTTTGACACGTCGAAGTATACACTAAAAACAAATGCCCATATCGAAACAGTAGTGTATGCCATCGCTTTGTTACGCTGTCTAGTGATAACAGGGAAAGTCTGGGGGGAGAAAAAAAAAAAGTCTCCTCGCTCAAAGTTTTTGCTCCTTTAAGTTTTCAGTTTGACCACCGTGGAAACGCCTCTACGGTAACGGACATCACGGAAACACGCTGCCTCTCCACCGAACATGCAGTCATGGTGGTACCACAGTATGAGTAGCACTGTGACAGCTGTTCCACTGCAGTCGGTGTCTCCGACTCCGAGATAGTTTCGCTACAATAAAGCCTAAAGTTGGAGAACTGTATCCAAGTTCGATAAAATAGGAAACATAACTTCCGGTTATGTAAACTTTTCAAATTAAAGTAAACCCAAACTGTTTATTGGTTTTTGTGTAGCACAAAAACAGGACAGTCATTTTTAATATAGGCATATGAGCCACATACATCATTATAAAAGGGAAGAAATACCAAAATGACATCACAGAATATACCAGGAAAACGTATTATGAGCAATGAATATTCTTCAACCCTTTTCACATTTGCTGAAATGCCTTGTGGCGCTTGCTTCATATGTAGTATGTTATGTCAACAGTTTGAATTGAATCTAGTATACGTCTTTTTTTTTTTTATTGTGTCATTTAACGGGATTTTTTGTATTGGAAAACTTTTATTTTGAATTCAAACTTTGTCTTATTTTTACAGTCTTGATGCTGCTCTTTACACTTCCTGGGTGCTAGATGACATATTTGAACCTACCAGGGAGTGGGAACAACATCCCACTATAACCTGAATTGACGTGAACACTCCGGACAGGTAATTAAACACTTCAGGAAGCGTGTCTACTCTTTTAACAGCGTCACCAAAATTAGATATTGTTCCACAGTTTTTTGCTTCGCTTAATGTGTCCTCATTTACAGCGCTAATCTAATCTTCCATCCTTTGCACATAGCCTTTGGTTGTCTTGTTATGGTACTCTAGCAGACTATTTAAATATGTTCAGTCACAGAAAAGGACATTTCCTCATGCTTAGGCTACACCAGAGGCTTAATGCTACAATCAACACAAGTTATTACATCTTTCAAATTCAGTTGAAATGTTGTGAATATTTAAAAACCTTCCTGTATTTTACTTGTTTTACAGGTAGCCTATAATACAGGTGTTAATGCTACCAAGATAATATATAAATGGGTGCTATGTTTTTTCTTATTTATGTAACTGTTATGCTTTTTGATTTTTTTAAATCTTAAAGTCAATCTCCAGACCACTGTATTTGTTTCCCACATATGAGAGTAAAAACCACATTAAGATTTCACAACGCTCAGTATTGTTCACTGATTACCATAAGCCCATTATGATGATATTTACAGTTTGTATTTGGAGTTGTACAATATATCTGTTGAAGCCCATTCAGTCACATTCATAACACACTACCTGTATACAGTAGACTATTCCTTTAAAGTCTCAAAATGCTCAGATACCTTCACATGCTCACATAAGCTCATTTTGATGACAAGCACAGTTATATTATTCAAATAAGCCTGACGCAGAAGCGTCTTAAAGCCCTCATTTACTCCCATAGGATGCTTAACCTGGCCAATGCACGAATATCAATTAGTTTACGCACGATTAAGTCGTCACAAATAATGCCAACGGCAGTCACATGCATTTCCTCCCATGCTTTTTTAGTTCACTCTCAAGCACCATGCTGCTGGTCAGTGTTCCACTACAATATGAGGAATAATACCAGCTCTTGTCTAGATTATGGGGTTTTCCTGCATTTGATTTTCCAAATTAGAAAATCAGGGGATTTTCTTAGCCTTTGCATGCATCAGTCTGGACAGTCTCATTTGCCGCATTGACAGTAGAAGAGAAAGAGGAAAAAGATCCCAGTGGTAAGGCAAGATCATTGTCACAAGCCTTCTCCACGCAGTCTGTTTCACACAGAGACGACCACTGTCTCACTCTGAAATCCTCATGAGTCCACAGTTATGCTGTCACATGTTCACCCCATTTCCCTCTCTGTTTCACTCTTGAAGTTAATCACTATAGTTACAATAACCTAAATATTATGGGGAAAGACTGTGACCACAAAACATCATCTTTCCAGTGTATTGCTTGTCATGCACTCGGTCTTGTGAATGACCCATTTAAGCACAATTCCTGTTTCTTCCTCCCTGTCACTGATATTTCCTTAGCCTGAGAGTATAAAAACAGCGGGAAGCAGGAATGCATTGTTTACTTGTCTGTTACTATCCATGAAACACAGCGAATCCAGTGGTTGTTCATGTGTGTTGTACCTCCTTGGGTTAGCTGGTTTCTCAACTTATTCTGGCTCACAACCTATTTTTTCAGGTACCAATAAAATTCATATGAATCCAGAAGCCTGTGAAGTTGTGCACATTTGTCTTTTTATTAGTGCACACAAATAAGCAAATGTACCATACATGGTGATTGATATCTTACAAATTAAAAGGCCAATACAAATCAGGAAAGCTTTAATCCGATAGATCAAGAAGAAATGACAGCTTTCGATTTGTGATGATAATGATTTTTTCATGGAACCGAGGGTTATAGTGAATTGTCCATGAAATTGGAAAAATGTCCCAACTGCCGTGCGAAACTTTATTTTACTTAGTCAATTTTGTTGTTGGTTATGTTTAAGAAAAAAAAAAAAGTGCCTGTGTTGCATCTGTTGATTCGGTATTTCTAATGTGTCCTTGCATCTTCCCCCTGCAGTTCCACTGCTAGCCACAATAAGGCACTCCACACCATTCCTGTGCTTTTAATCCAATCTAAGGGTGCTGTAGCATCGTCTGCATGTGAGCAAATTAGGCAGCTTAGGACAGCCAGTGTTCCTTCATTTGGCAGTGCAAAGCTCCTTTACTGGGACATTGGTACTTAATCCTCACAGTTCTGATCATTACAGCTGATGAGGGAGAGAAGGAGAGCACATTACATTATCTCATATGCACCCACCTTTGTCTGAACAACACACACACATCTCCACCTAATCACAGATATAACTCCAGCATTGTTTAGGCTGTAGTTTTGTGGTCACTTATTGTTACAAATATTGATTATAACTGGTTTGTGTAACACCAGCAGTTTCGGTTGAAGCTGCTAATTGAGTTTTTACTAATGCAATTTCTGTATTTGTTTTAATAAGAAATAAGAATAAGAATCATGTCAACTTATTTACACAATATCACACCCTCAAATATTTGACTTTAAAAAAGTAAGCGAGTATTTACATTGTATGTTACAATGTACTACATTACATTTAGGAAACATTAGCTATGATTACTTAGAAACAGTGTATTATAAAGTCTTGAATTAGCCATTTTGCTTGTTCGGTGACCCCAGCTCTCTGTATTTTATAGCGTCACACAGAGCTGTGATAAGCAGCCCCACAGACAGCCCCAATCACTGTAAGTCTATAATGCTGACCAGAGATTTGTTGAATCTGTTAGCATTTCCCCGTGATATAGGAAGCAGTGTAATTACAGCAGAGGCATGACAGAGCTGGATGAGCGGTAAATAGGGATTACAGAGGGGCAGGTCATAATGAGCAGGCCGGCCACATGTTTCTGAGGCAAATCTCATTTTGATATCCAGTCTACCATGCTGTTTTATTAGCAGAGTGGCTGGGGTCAATTAGCTTTTAGCTCGGTACATTCAAATATTTAACTTGATATAATGTGGCTTGCTCTATTAATTGATATAGACTGAAGTGAAAAGTCGATTTTTAGTTTTCCGTATTCTAAAGGAGATCTCCTGTTTATTATTTGTCTGTTTTTGTATTTCCTGTCTCTGCATAGCAGGGATTGACATAAAGTTAGCCTGTTCTTCATAACAAGCTACTTCCCTGTCTCTCCCTCTGCCAGAACTGTCAACCTCCTAACAAGGTGTACATATTCACAGCTGCAGGAGAGCAGCCCAAATGAGGGGAGCCTGAATAAGATGAGAGGGACATTCCAGACAACAGGTGTGTGGGTACAGCACTGCTCACTCCCTGGTACCACACTGCATGTTTCCAGCCATATAAAAGACAGCTGGTTTTGATTTATTTTGTATTTTTTAGATCAATTACTTGTAACTGGATGGCAACTCTCACTGCTTAGACAGGCGGGAGTATGACCAAGGATGGCTCATGCAAGTCTCGCAGGCTATTCACACTTACTCTCTCCCCCCCCCCCCCCCCCGTGGTGGTAACATTGCCTCTCTGCAGTGTATCTGTATCTGTTTGTTCATTCATAGGAAAAGCATTAGTGACACGTAGATGAGTCATAGAGGCTAGTGTCTAGTCAGGCTGCGGTGGGAGTCAGGAACCCTGCCACCCCATTCTGCTCCTCACCTCAAGGCACTACTCATACCCTCACCAGTCTCCCTACTCTAACGCTTACATACACAAACATATGCCGTCCGTGGTTGTTCAAATGCCACAGATCCCACCTGATGCGTCGGGTGCCACAGAGCAGATGTAGTAGTGGGAAGGAGAGCGGTGGCGGGCTTCGGCCATCCACATTATTGAGATGCTGTTTGTCAACATACGTAGTTAGGGCACGCTGTAGTAGGATTGGTATGATGCAGCCGCCGTTATAATTATTCACCCCAAACAGGAAAACTGTGGTGTTTCTTCGCATCGGATGTCATGAGTTATAATCTGTTATTTCGGTGTGAAATAACAAAAATATTAGCTGCAGATGTTTACTTTGGTGTAGAAATTGTTTTTAGATTTAGCCAAAATAGATCAAATGAAATAACCCATTTTGATGGTTTAGAGTCGGTTTCATGCACAAAACTAAATAACTTCCTGGTTCTGGTACTTGGCTTCCAAAACAGAGTTGAATAAATGACATAGAAGCAGTTTGCAAATGTTTGCTTTTACTTTGCGGTGGAAATCCTGACATATTATGGCCTGCCAGAGTTAATTGTAGAGCAGACAGATTGAGCAGATGTGTGTGTGTGTATGTGTGTGTGTGTCCAGTACGTTTCACACTCCCCTGTGACTCTCAGGGGTTATATAAGGTGCAACACCTGGAGTTTGTTTCCTCATTAGGATGGGCATCTCCAAGGTGATAGCCAATTAGAAAAGCTGAACCTGGCTCAAAGGACTCATGAGTGGATAGAGATCAGATACATATCATCTCTCACCAGCAAATTGCTTTCACAAATGCAGCAAATTTGGGATGCTCATTGCAGAGGTATAAGCCTACTGTCTTTCTGTCATTTTCTCATACAAACAAGCACATTTTCTCACACTCTGCCATGTTTCTTTG